TATGAAATTTTATTTATAATTTATTTATATTTTATTTATAATTTATTTTATAACAATATAGTTAGTTAGTCGGTAATCTTTTACAATAAATAATTGTGAATATCTCGAGAACGAAATCGATCGGATCGATGTCAGACCTTTACTAGTACACTTAGAAGGGTAAGGGAAATTGCTGAGAGAAAGTTGCAAAATTATAAACAAATGGAATTATCTCGGAAACTATTGGTCGTATTAAGAAAATTTAAACGTGGTATTTTATAATTAACATAGGGCTATCGAATGGCATTATCATTTTGGTTTACTATCAGGGGATCGCCATCTTGAAATTTTACAATTTTGAATTTTTCGAAAAATCTCTTTTATCTCTCGTTACTAAACGGATCACTTTGCAAATTTAAGTTTATCTCGTTATTCACAGAATTTTGAATGACGTCATCATGATCTTATTTATTTGTGCCTTTTCGAAAATTTTATTATTATCCCCTTATTCCCTGTGTCAAACATAATAATCTTGTTAACAATTTTTTATCTTGTCTTATTAATGTATAAGAATTAAGTTTAAAACGAAGCCAAATTTGATTCAGGTCATCTGTTGGTTTCGCGAGGAACTATCTATCGGTAATATAGAAAACTTTATTCGTGCGACATCTATACGCCGTATGATAAATTAGCTCCATAAGACATCTATTATTATAATAATGAAATAAACTACTTTCCGAACTTTTAATGGTAAGCGCTTTAGTATTGTCCAAAATTAAGTTATAATATTATTTTTTATTGTTACTATTATTATTACTGATTGAGGTCCTCAATAAGCCGTGTATAAACAAAATAAAGGTTAGGATGAACAAAAGTAATTTTACTTGTTATGACAATTATTTCATCGGTCGGAAAAGTTTGACGCTTTTAATAATCAAAAATAAATGTTTGTCAGGTTGGCAATATAATAGAATAAAAAACGATGGGACATCACAATGCCAATGAGGATTCAGAAGACACTTTGAACTCCTGGGGAGGAGGGGAGCACCCTCAGGGTGAAGGCGGTGGCTAACAAGCTCAGTCGCTTCCATCTTCATCAACTTTGGAGGTCCAGATGTTAAAACGAGACCTGTATGCGAACACCGCCACGTGGTGGTGAATCACCGATTTGGACTAAACGCCTGGTGAAGGATCAAAAAAGCCTCCGTCAATTAAGTAGGCGCAGCGCCGTATCACTCTGCGCCTGGCCAGGGCATACCAAACGGTATCGCATGCGGGGCCACGGTCCTAGTTGGGACTTCCCCCTCCCCCCCGATTAATCTACTGACGAGCATGCACGCTGCAGTTTATCAGCAGGTACGCCGGATCAAAGACCGGAGGATGGTTCCCACGACTAGGGCCATGAATCTCATAAGAGAGAAGAAGTGACAGCGGTTCGTCACGCCCTGGATGATCTGATTGTACGACATCGGAAAGGAGAGCACGCATACAGTGCCCGCATTGTGCGGCGGGTGAGGACACATTCGAGATGCGTACAACTTGGGAGGAGGAGCACGGTGTCCTTACGCCAATGTTAGGTAACGACTTCTCACTGCTGACCGTCATATACACACATCAAAAA